ATGTGATGCTATCATTTGCATTCACGTCTGTCTGCCTCTCATCATATGTTCGTGTGTTGCAAACGTGGTGTGAGCGTGTGCAAGAATTTGTGTTTCGTGTGGTTTGGATTCTATGAGTGTGTGTGAATGATATTTTGCTTGAGCAGATATTTTAGGACTTCTCTGCTCAAGAGCTTTCCGATGAACCAAGAATTGCCGCGATCGAAGCAAGAATGAGAAAGATATGATCATTCGAAGTTGTGATTGTGATGCGACGACTATGGGATTTTGCGGGTTGACTCAATATGGGGTACGACTTTTGGGGGTTGGGAAATTCGTATTTTCAAATGTAGTTGCTGCCAAGTGGTTGGGAGAAACCAAATTGGGTTGGGAAGTGTGGCCAACTTGGGTGAAGTGGAATGTGGAGGTTGGGAAAGTGACAAAAGTAAAAGTGGGTTGCTATAGGGAGGGGATTTGATGTGCTTATGGGGTTTCCTTGGTTGGGGACTCCTTCCCTCTCGTCCTCCTGATCCTCCCCTACCTGGTTTCTAGCTACTCAAATCCTCTTTGTGAGACTTGTGTGAACTATTGTGTTTGGGTTAAGTTTCAATGGCAGCATACCCCCCAGTGCGCTGAAATCGGTAACTCGAGATTCACTTCACCTCTTAATAAGATTCAACTTGAAAATGGTAGCTACGGTCTAGGGCTACAACATAACCGAAATTGGGGAAGTTTCAACAGGGCGTTTTTCGTCGACAACGTTTCTTGTGAAGTCGGCTGTTCTGTCCAGAATTCTGAGCCAATGATTTTGAGAAATTTAGGCTCCTAATCTTCGTAGACTCTGTCCTTAAACTCTAACAGTGGGAAGGAAAGCAAAGCTGGCTCTTTATTGTCCAATTTGGCCTGCGTTTGCCCAACCAACATGCGGATTGTTTTTTTTTTTCTAGCGCATTTTTGTTGTTTGAACTTAGTCAAGCTTTTTACCCTGATTTCCCCAATTTTCAGGGTGTTGAGATGGCGGTCCCCCGCCTTGGCGGCTTGAGAGGCAGTGGGACAGAGAGCTCCTCGAGTTTAGGATAGGGAGTAGACTGAGGAGAGGGAGGACAAGACAGGGCGGCAGATAGAGGGGGGGTGATCTCGGTTGCAGGTGGTCTTTGTGGTTGTACGACTTGGTCAGGGGAGCGGTTATGCTTGCCTAGGGCGGTGGGGTTGATCTGGCCTACTTAGACTATGCTAGCCTGTTCGTGCAGGTCCTATTTTGTGTGCCTTGTCTGCATTGTTTGCCTCACCTACTTGCTTGCCTTGACTAGCTAGCTACCAATCCTGCCATGCCTGTACCTTATGAACCCTATCAATATATGACTGCTTGAGAAAGAGACGAAGAGAGAGAGAGGGAGAGAGGGAGAGAGAGAGAGAGAGAGAGAGAGAGAGAGAGAGAGAGAGGGAGAGAGAGAGAGAGACTAGAACTACCAGCTTGCATGTTTCACGGTAGCTTCCTAGACTAGAACCCACCCTTGCATGTCTGTACCCTATATGAAACATCAATGAAGGACCGCTTGAGAGAGAGAGAGAGAGAGAGAGAGAGAGAGAGAGAGAGAGAGAGAGAGAGAGAGAGAGAGAGAGATGGCAAAAGAAGCGGATTTCCTACGACTCCTGGCCACCTCAGCAGCCAAGAAGAAGTACCGCCAGGGGAAGTTGACAACGACGACTGCACGGCTCACCGCACACTACCAGCAGCGCTGGTCTGTGATGCTGCAGCGCTCCCAGGAGACGTCCTACCTGAACAAGTCAAACCTCTCAGACGAGGCAGCGTTCCCCCAGGCTGCTAGGGACCCTTGGGAACCTAGCCTGGGGGACCTCTGGCAAGTGCTGGAGGATGAGCTGGAGGTTGTGATGGCTCAGTAGGTAGGAGAAGGTGTAGGCCAGCGATGTAGCCATGGCTTGGTTGCTGCATGATTGGCCTGAATGGCCTGCCTGCCTGGACTGCTGACCGTGCTTGGCCTTGCCTTGCAGTGCCCTGTCTTGCTGGTTTGCCTTGTCTGCTGCTTGGCCTGACTCACCTGACCGGCTTGTTTGTGTGCAGAGGTCCTGCTTGCTTCACGTCCTGCCTTGCATGATTAGTAGCTCCAATGCCTAGGCCTGTCTAGCTTTATTCCTACCATGCCTGTACCCCTATGAACCTATCAATGAAGGACTGCTTGAGAGAGAGTCCTAGGGAGCCCAGTGGGAACGAGGGCGTTCTGCAGACAATTTATCAGGAGCGCGCTAGGGACCATGTCTGCGCCACTCGGCCTCATCGGCCGCCTTCACCCACAACACGTTATGCTGCTGCTATCACGGTGCATCTCCCGCCGGGCGTCCTACCTCCTGCGTACAACACCTGCAGATGCGCTACCACTCGGAGAATAGAGAGAGTGGAGTGAGCGGCTACTTTGGACAGCCCTCAAGGCGGCCCACCTACACATGCCATCGAAGGAGCTCGAGCAAAGCTTGGTGTGGAGACACGCGACTCTGCCGGTGGCGCTAGGAGGTTTAGGGCTCATTGACCCACTGTCAGAGGCACCAGCGGCATACCTGGCCTCACTAAATGCAGCCCAGACCCTCCTGCAGCAGGTTACGGCCGCGCCAGATCATCCGCTGCAGCACGTAGGGGAGCTGGTCTCACCACAAGGGGAAGGAGCAGCGGTGGGTAGCAGGACTACGCTACAAGATCTGCGGAACAGGCTCCCAGAGGCAGCACAGGAGCTGCTCAAGGGATTTGGCCAGGAACAGGGGGGGAAGGGGCAACTACAGGAGCTCCTCTCCAAGCACATCAACCAGGACCGGGCAGCGGAACTATTGGGCGCTACTCGGGTGGATAAACCGGGGGAGGATAACGGCCATGTGATCCGCTTAATCAGCCTGCAGGGAGTAGAGGCAAGGGATTGGCTACACGCCATCCCTACGAGAGGGGACCTGACGTTTTCGCCGGGGCAATATGCAATAGCCCTGGGGTTTCGCTTAGGGTTGACCCTGCCAGTGACAGACACGTGCCCATGCCACGGTGAACGATCACAGATTAATGACCGGAGCCTCCCCAACCACCTGCTGAGGTGCGCGGAAGGAAAGGACAGGACTAACACGCACAATTCCCTGGTGTATGCGGCACTGCGAATGGCACGCGAAGCGGATTACATGACTTTGCATGAGACCACCGTCTACTCGCAACCCGTCAACCCTAAGCGAGCGGACCTGGCTATCAAAGACCGTGAGTCTGCTGAAACGTTCGTCACACACGTCACGGTCACTGATCCTGTGCTGCAACGGCGAGATTTAGGGGCCACCAGGGGACCGGGCTGGGCGGCGGAGGAGGCGGCGAGGATGAAAAGGGGACTGTACGAGGAATGCCCAGACTTTGTAGGGGTGTTCGAGCTAGCAATGGAAACTTATGGTGCCTTGGCGCAGGACACCCAGCGGTTCCTTCGTCTCCTCGGCACGCAGGCGGCTAAGAAAAAGCACAGGCAGGGGAGGCTCACCACGGTGGCCTCCAAGCTGACTGCGCATTACCGACAACGCTGGCCGGTGATGCTGCAGCGCAGCCAGGAAAACGCCCTGCTGGCAAAGTCCAACAGGGCGACAGAGAGGGCCTTTCCCCAGGCCCTAGTAGACCCGTGGGAACCCAGCCTCGGGGACCTCTGGCAGGTCCTTGAGGATGGGCTGGACTGGGGGCCGGCCCTGGATGGGTGAGGGGAGAGGGGGACTGGAGCGAGAGGACGCTCCAGGCCGCGGTAGGTGGGTTCGGGGCTCTGGGTAGGCCTCTCGGCTGCGCTGGCCAGCCAGTGGGCAGACCTTCCAGGAGGGTGCTGGCCTGCTCGCGGGTGGGGTTTCATGGTTGCAGGCTAGCCGGCCAAATACCTAGACTGTTTGCTTAAAAGCCAAAATAATATCTCTCTTGCATGCCTAAGATTTGCTTGCTAGAATCTTGCACATGCCTTGCTTGTACCCAGTACACACATAAATGAAGGACCGCTTGAGAGAGAGAGAGAGAGAGAGAGAGAGAGAGAGAGAGAGAGAGAGAGAGAGAGAGAGAGAGAGAGAGAGAGAAGAAGCAGCAGGGAAGGGGAGGTGGGAGGGGGGTCAGAGGAGAAGGGAGACAGGAGCACAAGAACATGGGTTTATAGGGGGGGGGGGGGGGGGGAGGCCAGGGGGGTGAGCAAGAGGCTCCTGCCACCGCGGTTTGGAAGGGTTCAGTGGGACCAGGGATAATGGGGGGGTATCTCAGGGAAGTTGAGAGGAAGCTGCGGTGTGGAAGAGGATAAGGGGGGGGGGGGGGGGGGGGGTTTCTGGTTCTAAATAGCCCGTTCTCCTCCTCATTGTTTGGTGGTGAGTTCATTCTCACTGCAAAAATCGGCGGCTCGCGCCGGTCGCCGAAGGCGGCCAGCGCTCGACAGCGCGGCCTTCGGCGGTGCGAGAGGGGTGGCAAGGAGATATCAAATATCGTCATTAGCAGTACATACAACATGCAGCAGTAGCTACGCCCAAACACCACGGGCAAGGTAAGTAGGACGGGGAAAGGATGGGGAACAAAAAGGCAAATGGCAAGGCCCAGAAGGGGGAGAACACTAAACGTGGTTCAACACATAAAAACACCGGCGGATCCAACGGAGCAATGGCGCGAGCGCAGGCACAAGCTGCAGGGGTGCTTCTTCGGCAGCCGTGGCGACCCTGCGGAAAGCCCTCGCGCCCAGCCCCTCGTTCTCGTCAAAGTGCTCGGACTCCAGGGGCAAGCGGAGGAGCCTCCACAAGCCCTGCGCCGCAGCCTCACGGACAACACCCTGCTGCTGCTCGGTCAGCTGGGGATCCCGCAGCACGAAGTTCCGCGCCTCCAGACCAGCATGAAGCTGCTCCAGCGCCGTCACCACGTGGGAGAGGCACTCGCCAACACCAATCATGCGCCGCTCCCAACGGAGGACATCAAGGACGAAGTCGGATTTCATGTCCCAGTCCCAACCCCACGTCATCCCGGACTGAGGAGGAGACTCTCACAGCTCGCCGTTCCACCACTTCTCATCGTCCTCAGGATCAGGTGCGTCGGGCGGAAGCGGGGGAGACTGTGCACGAAGCCGAGGTGGAGGGAAACGAGCGACGGGTGCTGGGTCAAGAGAAACGAGGGGATGCTGCCGCTGAGGAGGCTCAGACAGAGGATCGGCAGCGACAAGCGTCTGAGCAGGAAGGGGGGGCACGAGATGTGCACCAGCGGGCGACACCAGCTGCGGAGGCACCGGAAGGGGAGGCGGGAGAGAGCTCGCTGCTGTTAGGGGCGCCGACGTCAACGCAGGAGAGGCCACCAAAGGGGACGAGGCAGCCAGACCGGACGACTGTTGCAGGGATGACTGCTGAGACGACGGTGGAGGAGGCAGAGGAGGAGGCAGCTGCGGCACCAGCGGAGAGGGCGCTTGGAGATTCGGACTGATAATCTGTTGCTGCAGGGCAGGCGGTGGCCGAGGCGGTCGGCGACAACGAAAGGAACCACCACGGGCCCGCAGATGAGGGTGGGTACGCCGGCAGGGCGAGCGATACACCGGCTCACGTGGATGAGAGGGGGCCCCGGCCCCCTCGCGCGCGACCAGGGCAGTGGCGGCTCGGAGTAGGACTGGCGCCAGCTCGTCCCGGGCCTCTGGCGGGTTGGGAACACCAGAGTACCCTGCCGCGTGATCCCGCCGCGGACGTTTTCCCGTCATCACAGCAGCGCCAAGAGGATCAGGAGGAGGGGGAGGTGGAGCGACATGCGGTAGAGCAGACAGATGACGAGGCTCACGAGGAGGAAGCGGTGTTGGCGGCAAGCGCCGCGGATCAGAGAAGGCGGGCAGGAACAAGCCGGCAGAGAGTGCTTCAGGAAAGAGCGGATGACCTAGCCGCGAGCCAACAGCTGCAAAACGCGGCGGCGAGGGCGGCCACCAGAGGCCGCGGACGAGGCCGAGGCAGGGGCGGGTGCGTGGGCGAGCTGGTGAGAGCGGTTGCAAGGGAGAAGGCCAGATCTGGAAGCTGGCGGGAACGGCACGGGAGGCCAGGGGATACTGGGGATGAACCAATGAATGAACCTGCACGAGAGGAGGGGTCAGAATATATGGAGGAACAAGAGGAGGAGTCAGAAGACGTCTCTGTCGAGGGAGAGGAGGGGATCCCCACGAATGGGGAAGGGGATAGACGACATGGAGGCGGACAAGGACGGGAGGATCGAGAAAATCACGCACAGGTGGGCGAATCAGAAGCCCAGGGGGCCAACGAGGCTGCCAACAAGGAGAGGGCACCCCTGAAGATCGCTGAGGATGAGGACGCATGGCACAAGGTACTGGATTGGGATCTGGGACCTCTCCGTGCCAGCGCACAGCCGTTCCTGGTCCAGAGACTCCCTCCAGAAATCCTGAAGGTATTCAACCACTGCATCACCGTACTACTCCTGCGACTCTCGAAGCATCCAGACTGCCTCGGCGCGTGGCGGATGTTACAATTCCTCCCCAAGCTCACACTACGGGCGGACATGGAGACAGCCCCGGGAAACAGAGGGCAGGCAGTCGAGGCTCGGCTTCGACAGTTCCGAGATGAGGAGTGGGACGCACTGTACATCCAGGCCAGCACTTTCCCCCCAAATTCAAAACCGGACCGTCACGAACCGGACCCTAAAGGAATCTGCGCCATAGCAGAAGGGCTGGTACGGAAAGCCAACCTGGCGAAAGCGACAGCAGCGTTACACACCTCGCCACTGGCCGAGCCTTCGCAAACAACACTAGAAGCTCTTCTCTCTAAACACCCAACCCAGGAATTGGCGATACCGGAGGGAATCACGGGTTTAGCAACTTCCGAGCTCGCAATCAGCGCGGAGTCGTTTCGCGAAGTATTGGCGAAATGCCCAAACGGGATAGGAGCAGGGCCATCTGGGACATGCTTCGAGCACTTACACGACCCTGCCTTAACCAACTGGGAGGTCTTTGCTCTCCTACACAAGGTAGTTAATCGGCTGCTAAGCACCTACCAGCCGGACGCAGTACAGAAGCTACTGCTCCCATCCTGGCTAATCGCCCTGGAAAAGCCGGACGGAGGAGTCCGACCAATCGCAATAGGGGAGGCGCTGCTCAGAGTAACGGCCAAAGCGGCGCTAAAGGAATTGGCGGGGGAAATCCGGGAGTACTTCCTACCTGTACAACTTGGAGTGGCAGTATTTGGAGGAGCGGAGTGCATCATTCACTCGACACAGGCGCTAGTGGCGGAGGACCCCACGAGGGTGATCCTACAGTTAGACATTTAAAACGCATTCAATTCGGTGGAGCGCGGAAGTTTCCTATCGACGCTACAATGGACCGGACTGGCGTCACTCATGCCATTGGCCCGCACGCTCTACGACGCACCATCAAAACTTCTGCTGGATAGTGTGTTCGACACGCCTCACATCAACAGTGCGCGGGGAGTGCGACAGGGAGACCCGCTCGGACCAATGCTTTTCGTGACGGCCATCCAACCAGTGCTCCTAGCGGCGGCAGAGGCAGACCCAACGGTGACCGTGATGGCATACGCGGACGACATCATGATCGTGGGTGATCCGGCGAGGGCGTCAAGGGCGCTAAATAAGATACTGGACGAATTGGGAGCCTGCGGCCTACGGTGCAACCTGGCCAAATCATCCGCCTGGAGCCCGTCGGGTTTTACAGGCCAACTCCCGGAAGGCGTGGCGACGGCAGTGGACGGAGTGCGGGTGCTAGGAAGCCCAATTGGCACCACGGCATTCTGCCAGCGCACCATCAGGGGGACACTCGAGGCAACAGCGGCACCGTTGGGGCTCATCGGCAAACTCCACCCGCAACACGCTCTACTACTCCTATCGCGGTGCATCTTGCGCAGGATCTCGTACCTCTTACGGACAACACCAGCGAACGTACTCCCCCGCAGAGAATGGAGAGAGTGGAGCGAGAGACTCCTGTGGACAGCGCTGAAAGCGGCACACCTACACACGCCAAGTAAGGAACTGGATCAGAGCCTGGTGTGGAGGCAGGCGACACTGCCGATTGCGCTCGGGGGTCTGGGAATCATAGACCCACTCTTAGAGGCACCTGCGGCATACCTGACTTCACTGCAGGTGGCGCAGATTCTCCTACAGCACGTGTCAGCAACTCCCAGCCACCACCTGCAGCGCGTGGCGGCACTGGTGTCACCACACGAGGACGGAGCCACGGGGGAAGACGGGACATCCATCAGGGATCTACGGAGCAGACTCCCCGAAGCGGCAAAGGAGCTGCTACGGGCGACGGACAGGGGCGGGAAGGGGAAAGGGCGTCTGCAAGAACACCTCTCCAGGCTGATAAACATGGACAGGGCAACAGAACTGGTAGGGGACACACGGGTCGACAAGCCAGGCGAAGACAACGGCCACGTTGTCCGCCTGATCAGCCTGCAGGGAGTGGGAGCGGGGAACTGGCTCCATTCCATCCCCACACGGGCAGACCTTACGTTCTCATCGGGCCAGCTCGCAATGGCCTTGGGTTTTCGGCTGGGCCTCACCTTAGCAGTGACGGACAACTGCCCGTGCAGAAAGCGTCGGTCCAAGATAGGCGACCGAAGCCTCCCCAACCACCTGCTGAGATGTGCGGAGGGGAAGGATAGGACAAACACACACAACAGCCTAGTGTTCGCAGCACTACGGATGGCCAACAAAGCTGACTATATGACCGCCCATGAGACCACGGCCTTCTCGCAAATTGTTAAACCCAAGCGAGCGGACTTGGTCATCAAGGACAAGGAGTCAGCGGAAACCTATGTGACCGACGTCACAGTGACTGACCCAGTGCTGCAGCATTGAGACACGAGGGCAGTGAAGCCGCCGGGCTGGGCGGCAGAGGACGCGTCGAAGGGGAAAAGGGGCCTACACGAAGGTCGCCCGGAGTTTGTAGGCGTGCTCGGCCTGGCGGTGGAAACCTACGGAGCCCCAGCCCAGGATGCCCAGAAGTTCCTTCGCATGCTTGGAACATCGGCGGCCAAGAAGAAGTACAAACAGGGAAGGCTTACTACTGTTGCCTCCAAGCTCACTGCACATTACCAGCAGCGCTGATATGGGTCGTTGCTTGTTTGCCTATTTGCCTGCTTGCTGGCTTGTTAGCTAGTAGCCATGCTAGGATGGCTGATTCTTACATGCCTGGCCTGTACCTTGCTGCTGCCGAGGAGGCTGAGGATGACGCAGGAGCAGAGACCCACGAGCCAGCGGCAAGGGTGGATGCGGCCACGTCGACTGAGATGGCGGCTGCTGGCGACGCGGCGACTGGAGGGATGCCTGTAGGGGCTGCTGCTCTGAGGGCGATGGAGATGGTGCTGGCGGCGACGGAGTTTGCAGAGACTGCAGGGGAGGCATGGGAGGCTGCCGAGGCTGTCGCTGCCGCTGGCGGCGGCTCATCTTCACCCTTGGCCATGGCCGCTTTTGCCCCGCCACCTGCAGAGGGTTTTGGACCGGGCTCGGGATCGGGGGCGGTGCTGTCTCAGGCTGAGGAACCGGCACCGCCACGGCCGGTGGAGGCATCGACGGAGGCAGCGGCTGCAGGAGGTGCGGAGGTGGCCGTAACGGCTGCCGCTGTGTACGACGGAACTCCTGCTGCCGCCGTGGCCGCAAACACGCGGGAGCCCAGCTAGGCGGAGGGTGATAGTGCGGACCCCGCGAACGGCGCTGCCTCCGACGCTGCCCGGACGAGGTCGAAGAAGAAGCTGCGGGCCCAGCCAGCGCCGAGAAGGCCTGGAGCAGGGCTGGGACCTGGCTCCCCGGGGCCCCTCCAGGGCTGGCTTCGGCAAGAGCAGTCGCCACGATCGCAAGTGCGTCAACCTCCATATGTGGAGCCAAGGACTGGGGAAAACGAAGGGGAGAGCAATGTCAAGCAAGCACTACCCTCAGGGCGGGGTGCAATTCACTGGAAGCTGGGATCCCGCAAGCGCCCCAGCGGGAAACACGGAGAACCACGCGAGCACGAGGCATCACCTGGGGCCAGCCGAGGGGAGGCCTAACTAGACAGACATTCTCACCGTGGATCCCGGCAGGAAGAGCGCCACAAGCTGGGGGTGGAGGGCGGATCAATGAGATCCAGACTGGAGGAGGCGAGACAGCTCGCGGGGCCCGAGGCGGAGGTCGTGGGGGAAGAGGCGGAAGACGGGGCGGGGGCGCAATCGTCGGGGGAAGAGAGGCGCTTGTGAGATCGGGAACGTGGCGGGAACGCCACGATCGACCAGAACAAGAATTGCCACCGACGAATCAGGAGGCGGAGGAATCTGACAACAACGATGACGGCGAGGAATATGTAGCTGAGGCATCGCAAGCCTCGGAAGAGATCTCGTTGGAGGAAGAGGGAGCCACGGCAAGGAGACGCAGTACGGGTGGGAGAAACCCTCAGCAGGAAAACCACCAAGAGATAAACCCCCAGGAGCAAGGAGAGACTAGAGAGGCGTGGGCCAGAGAGAGCCAGGAGGGCCGAAGGTACAATCGCCTGCCGACCTGGCAGCAGATGACTCCATCTGGCAACAAGCAGCCATGTGGGAGGTTGCACCACTCCAGCGGAGTGACCAACCTTTCTTGGTTCGGAGAATGCCCCCCAAAATCCTGGAGAGTTACACCCTCTGTGTCCTGGCCCCACTCCTGCGCCTCACGAAACATCCCAACTGCCCCGGGGCTTGGGCGATCCTGCAATTTCTTCCGAGGCTGACTCTACGACCCCTTCCCGAACCTGTTGAAGGAAGCCGATGGTCAGGGATTGAGGGAAGATTGCACCAGTTCCAGCAAGGCAGATGGGGGGAACTCTTCGAGGAGGCAAAAGTCATCCCCGACATGGAGAACCCAACAAGACACCAAGCTGATGATGCGGGAATCTGTGCTAGGGCGGAGGGTTTGATGAAAAAGGGTAACATTTCGAAGGCAGTTGCAGAATTACGAACAACCAAACTCGCAGAAACCACACCAGCGACGCTCGCGGCACTGCAGGCAAAACACCATGCTGCGGCCTCGCCCACCTCGACTCGTGTCTCTGGCTACACCCACTCGGCGCTGAGAGTTACCCCCGATGACCTTCGCGAAATACTTAAGCGATGCCCGAACGGAGTGGGAGCAGGGCCTTCGGGCACTTGTTTCGAACACCTCAAAGACCCAGCGCTCGCGAGTCAGGAAGTGCTCATACTCCTTGCAAAAACAGTCAGCTACCTCCTTAGCACCTTCCAGACCCAAGCCGTCCATGACTTGCTACTCCCCTCGAGGCTCATCGCCCTGGAAAAACCGGGAGGCGGAGTTCGTCCCATAGCAATAGGAGAGGCGCTACTTCGCATCGTGGCAAAGGCGGCCCTGAAAGAGCTAGGCCAAAACATCCGCGAGTTCTTTCTCCCCGTACAGTTTGGCGTGGCAGTCACGGGCGGTGCGGAGTGCATCGTACATTCAGTTCGTGCGCAGCTTAAAGAGGACAAGACTCGCATAGCGCTACAGCTCGACATCGAGAATGCCTTCAACAGTGTTGAACGACCGGCATTTTTCCAGGCACTCTTGCAATCGAGCTTGCTCTCTCTTTTGCCCCTAGTTCGCACGCTGTATGAGGGCCCGTCGCGTCTCCTAGTGGACCACAGGCTGGGCGTCGACCAGATCGTGAGCAGCCGTGGTGTCCGTCAGGGAGACCCACTGGGCCCGCTCCTTTTTGCAGCGGCGATCAAACCTACGCTGCTGAGTACGGCAACACTCCTCCCTGAGGTGGCGATTGTTGCCTATGCCGACGACATCACCGTCGTGGGACCACGGGATGCGGCGTATGAGGCGTTTATCAACATCACAAGGGAGCTCACCTCGCTCGGGCTCCGTTGCAACATCGCCAAGTCCACGTGGTGGGGCAAGAGCATGGAGGAGGGAAACGAGATACCACCCCCGCAGGGTCTGCCATTGAACACCAACGGCATTGGAGTTTTGGGGAGCCCGATTGGGACACCTGCCTTCTGCACGGACCAGGCGCAGGCGCGACTCACGGAGGCATCCGCTCCATTGCCTCTGATAGCTCAGCTTCACCCCCAGCACGCCATGCTCATGCTCTCTCGGAGCATCTCACGCAGGATTTCCTACCTGCTGCGGACTACATCGGCGGCGGTCCTAGAGAGGCAGGAGTGGAGGTCATGGAGCGAATCTCTGCTGGGAGCGGCACTCGCAGCGGCAAAACTGCGGGTCCCAGCGAGTAAGCTGGAACAGAGCTTGCTTTGGCGGCAGGGGACCCTACCGGTTCGGCTAGGGGGGGTTAGGCATCATTGACCCCACCTCGGAGGCACCAGCAGCCTACATCGCATCTGTCACGGCAGCCCAACACCTGCTACGGCAGATGAACCTGCCCAAGGGGTACCTCCTGAGCCGGGCGGTCACGCTACTGGACCACTCCTGGAGTCCCGCCCCACCTGGTGTCAATCAGCTGGCCCCACTGGAAGCAGCTCTACCAGCACCTGCGAGAACCGCATTACAGGCATTCAGGGAGCAGCCGGCAGGACAGGGTAACCTACAGCTCGTCCTGTCTCGACACATCAACGAGAGAAGATCCGCGGAGCTACTGGCAGACACGATCACAGACCGCCCTGGCCAACACCGTGGGCATGCGATATGCCTCATCAGTCTGCAAGGCGTGGGAGCGGGGGACTGGCTCCATGCCGTGCCTTCGAGAGCTGACCTTACATTTGCCCCTGGTCAGTTCTCCTTGGCGCTAAGGTTCCGCATGGGCATGTCCCTGCCGGTCACTGTGAAGTGTCCCTGCAAAAGAGATTATTCGGACATCAACGACACAAGTCTGCCGAACCATCTCCTTAGGTGCGGGTACGGGGGCGACGTTCTTAGAACGCACAACGCACTGGTGTTTGCGGCCCTCAGAATGGCAAGGGAAGCGGACTTCACGTGCTTCCATGAGACATCAGCCTTTTCCCCACCGATCCTCAGGAAGAGAGGGGACCTGGCGATTAGAGACAAGGAATCAAACGAGACCTGGGTTACAGACGTGACGGTGACTGACCCCGTGCTCCAGCAGCGCGACACCAGGGCACATAATCCGCCAGGATGGGTGGCTGAGGAGGCTTCGGCTAGGAAGCACAGAGAATATGAGGGTCGGCCGGACTAAGTTGGTTTCTTTGGCCTTGCAGTTGAGACATATGGGGCTCTGTCCACCGACACGCAGGAGTTCCTACGACTCCTGGCCACCTCAGCAGCCAAGAAGAAGTACCGCCAGGGGAAGTTGACTACGACGACTGCACGGCTCACTGCACACTACCGGCAGCACTGGTCTGTGATGCTGCAGCGCTCCCAGGCGACGTCCTACCTTAACAAGGCAAACCTCTCAGACGAGGCGGCGTTCCCCCAGGTGGCTAGGGACCCTTGGGAACCTAGCCAGGGGGACCTCTGGCAAGTGTTGGAGGATGAGTTGGAGGAGGTGATGGCTCAGTAGGTAGGAAAAGGTATAGGCTAGTCGTGTAGCCATGGCTCAGCTGCCGCATGATTGGCCTGAATGGCCTGCCTGCCTGGACTGCCAGCCGTACTTGGCCTTGCCCTGCTGTGCCCTGTTGTGCTGGCTTGCCTTGTTTGCCTGCCCTGCTGTTGGTGCAACCCTACGGTTTGCACTCGGCTTGTTGTCCGTGTGCGTGAATGTGTGTGTGTATGGAATGGTATGAGGGCATGGGATACTATATATTTCATGCTTATAATTGTGTGTGAATGTTGAGTCATGATGTCGAGTGTGTGTGTCGAGTCAATAGCGAGTTATCGCTAGACGCGTGTTACGCGGTCGTTTGTGTCTCGCGCGCGGTTTCTATTTTGTCGTGCGCGGTTTCTATTTTGTCCTGTGTCGAACGTTCGGCGTGTCGCAGGTGTGTGCAGCAGACCCATCAAGAACTCAAGGATGAGTTTGTGATGAAGAGCCCGAGCCTTGGTGTCAAGCCTCAAGTGATTTCGAAGCTTGCCAAAAGGGTACACCTCAAGATATTGAAGATAGTTACATTACTTTGTGTAGTGTAACATTTCACTTGGTGTAGGCCCTAGTGAAGGGTAGTTTCGAGACCCTTCGTGGTTGGGGACAGTGTGGCACTGTTCCACATCACTGTACCTCGGCTCTTGGGGTTTGTAGGAGCTGGGAGTCATTCCCAACTCGTAACTCTTCCTATCTTGTGTTCTAAGACTATAGTGGCTGCCATAGTACCGTTCGTTCAAACCGACGCTGTGTCGTCAATTCTTTATCAAATCGTGCAATCTAAATTGCTAATTGTAGACGACGTGAAGACGCTCCAGATCCAATTTGAATAAAGTCATTTGCAGCTGTGAGCAGAACGCTATCAACGTTTGAAGCCGCTGTGCAGAAATCCGTCTGTGCTCTCTATCTTTCGTTTTAGGCACATTCAAGCCTATTGTGACTATAACAAGTGGTATCAGAGCCCCTTGGAGCAGTTTCGACAATGTCTGGACCTGAGGAAAGGGGTGGCAGAGGTGCTGGTGGCAGTGGAGAAGCTCAAGCTCAAGGCCAACCCCGTGATTCAGCCATGGCGCCCATGCAACCAAGTCTTGGCCCACCTAGGGATGAGCCTAGGGTGTTTGGGCTTGACAAGTTCAACGGTGACAACTTTGCTGAATGGTCCTTCAAGATGGAGAACATCTTTGACCACTATGACCTGCTGGAGGTGATGGAAGGAACGGAGAAGCGCCCCGAGAACGACCCGGAGAAGAGCCCGTGGGTGCGGAAGAGCGCACAAGGCTATCTCTTACTTGGGCAAGCGTTGGGGAGCAGTCAGATCCGTCACATCAAGCCATTCCAGCGTGAACCAGAGAAAGGACCAAAGGCATGGGCTGCTCTCAAGGGTGTACATGCTCCTGCAACAGCGGCGGTAGCGGTGGTGTTGGAACGGCAAATGGCGGCACTACGAATTGAAGAAGACGAAGCGGTTGAAGAAGGGGTGCAGAAATTCTTCGACTTGTTGACGCGGCTTGAGGGAGCTGATTTGAACTACAGTGAGCTCCAAAAGAAGACCAAGTTGCTGGCCTTACTCCCAGAGTCATGGTCCTCGCTCATCATCAACCTTAATCGCGACTTGCCCCGCCTCTCGCTTGAAGACGTGAAGCGAGCTATCCTTCAAGAGGATTTCCGCCGCCGTGAGTTGGCGAGTGCGGATGGCGCTGGGGCAGCGAGCATCGGCCGTGGATATGGTCGAGG